ATAAAAGAATAAATAACAAACACCAATTTACTTGTTCTGTCCCACGTTTTACTTTCTATAACTACACATCATGTCCTTCCTCAAATAGTATCTATTTTTCTGTCCAACCATATCATAACTTCTCTCAGAAATCTGTAAGATTAGTAAAATTGTCTTCTGCTATGACAGATTACACTTAATATCAAAATTCTCGTCAAGCTTCTCTTTTATTCGCATTCATTATACCCCTCTAGATTTTTACAGTCTACCTTAATATTGATTATTCTAATCTTTTAATTATTTACAAATTTTGCACCCTTAATACCTAAAATAGTATTTAGCCTGGTTTTGAACCATATGGCATCCTACTGTCAACCTTTGCCCATCATTTATTTACATTTTGGTCTTCTGTTTATTAGTCAATCTTATGAGAATTCTAGATGAAAAACAGTATTTGTATATCTGGGTAAGAATCTTATTATGGTATATATCAAATTGATATCAGATGTAAAATAAATCAATGTCATTTTCAAATGCCACTCATTGCCATCCTAGCTAAATACATAAATACTAATAAAGTATTCTATTATTGAAAAATGGATTCACAGTCCTTCAGAATATACCATTCTTTTGTTCAGTACTTTTCTGCTGTATATTCAATCACTTTATACAAATATTATCATGAGTTGTAGCTCATTTATAGAAAGAATTACTCTTCACTGAAGCATAGTGGCCATTTATCAAAACTATAATCTACATTCAAGCTATATGGCTATTAGTCTTTTTTAGATCAAAGAAAGAAGCTGTTATTTTAAACCAAGAAATTTAAATTTCCTTGATTTCAGTAGTAAATAACAAACTTGTATGTTAACTTTCATCCCTACGTATCTGAGTGCGATATCCAGCACTGCTTGTTTTTCTTGCCAGGAGGAGTATTCATTCTAAGGTGTAATATTGCACAAATATGTGGGGCATATGAGGGCTATAGTAATTCATGACTATGATATGTAAAGAATAAGGAATCTTGCAGGAGGCCTGAAAAGGAAAGTTTTTAAACTTTCCCTCCTAAGTGAATACTTATACAGGAATAACAAAAAAGCCACTTATGCTTAGAATGTTTTCTAACACAAACAGTCCTATTGACTTCAGAAAGCCTTAACATGCCTGTGTGCTTTACAGGATAGATCCCCAATACATAAATATCTCCAACCCTAAAGCAAAGAAAAAAAAATTATGCCATCTTCATAGCAATCCAGTTTGGTTTGATTTTTAATAGAGAGAGAAATTCATATCTCAATCAGGCCAACACTATTTTTGTGGTTCTTATAACAGTGGGTACTGTATAAACTCAAAGGAGCTACACAGTTTAAGGGTGCACACATCAGGGATAGCTAGATCATTTTCTTCTCTTATTACATGTGAAATTTAAAACAGTACTGAAATCTTAGCGACATTACCCTTTCTTTGAAGGAATGTTTTATGATTAATCAGTCTTGCATAATGCTTTTTAAAAGATCTTAAATTTCATTCAAACCATTCTTAATTATTGTTTTAGTAGGAATAACGTAAATTTGTAATGCTGTCCTCAAAACTCCAATCTTTGTTCTCACCAAGGTTATTTTAAAAAATTTTTTAAAATTATGTTTAAAGTCTCCAGAATATAATAGAGACTAGTGCTTTACTGTTGAATCAGCTTATAGAAGTTTAAATAATCATAATTTTTTGAAATGTTCTGCATTTTAGAGTTTGTTTTACAGGAGCTGGTAGATTTCATTCTTCATGAATGGGCGGGGGGCGGAAACAGGAAAAGAAATTCCTACAAAGGCAATGGGCAAAAAAAAGAGAAAGCTTTCCATCCATTTAGCTACTCTATATGTATTTTGGAGAAAGACACGATGTGTTGGAATGCTAGGGCCTTGGCATTATGTATTGGCCTTGACCCACAGCAGAGCTCTTACTGAGCTGCCAGCCATCCTTGCTTTGACTTTATTCTAGCAAGACATAT